GGGAAACAGGTCCTACGAGTAATCACCGCCTATGCTCCACAAGTCGGATGTAAGGATGACGAAAAAGACGCGTTCTGGCAGGAGTTAGATGACCACATCAGTTCAATTCCACTGGATGAGACACTCCTGCTAGGAGCGGACCTCAACGGACATGTGGGAAAAAGGCGAGGAGAAGCCGGAAAATGTCACGGAGGCCACGGATACGGAACATGCAACGAAGAAGGTGAGCGCATTCTGGAATTCGCCTCAGCTCATGATCTGATGCTGGCGAACACATACTACATCAAGAAGGATGATCACCTCATAACATATGCGAGTGGCGCTCGACGAACACAGATAGACTTCTGGGCTATCCGGCAACGTGACCTCAAAAACGTAAAGGGCTGCAAAGTCATTCCAGGTGAGAGCTGCATACCTCAGCACAGACCACTGCTTCTCGACATTAGAATCCCAATAAATAGGCACACCAGGAGAGCCACAGAGACCAGGACACGCATCAAATGGTGGAGATTGAAAGACAACAACGCGGCGAAACAAACACTGCAAACAACTCTACCACGCTTGCAGGATAACCCAGATCAATCCTGGAAAAGCTTGAAAGAACGAGTCCACGAAGTGGCACACATGATCCTGGGAAGTAGAAGCCAGGAAAAAGAAGGATCAATCGAGAAACGTGGTGGTGGAATGACGAAGTGCAAAAAGTCATAAAGGAGAAGAGGAATGCATACAAGCGATGGCATAAGACGAAACTGGAGGACGATCGTCAGAAGTACCAACAAGCCAAGCACGCTGCGAAGGCTTCCGTAAAGAATGCAAAACAGGTGTACTTGAAAGAGCTCTACGACCACCTAGAGTCTCGCGAGGGAGAACGTGAGATATACCGGATAGCCAAAAGAAGAGCGGAATCCACAAAAGATATGGAACACTTCCTCCATATCAAAGACAAACTTGGTAGAGTGCTAAGAAAACCAGAGGACATCACCGAGAGATGGAGAACCTACTTCGAAGAGCTTACTACCACAAACCTCACCATCAACTCCATCCCAGAAGCCAGTCCCATAGAAGGACCAGTACCAGCAGTCACGGAAGAAGAAGTATGGCTGGCTGTGAGAAAAACAAAGAATGGCAAGGCAACTGGTCCAGACGACATACCAAGCGAATTCTTTAAAATATGTGGACAATCGGAGCCACATGGCTAACGAGTCTCCTCAGTCAAGTCATAAGTAGCAAGAGTATGCCTCGCGACTGGTACACCAGTACGACCATCCCGATATGGAAGAACAAAGGAGACATAGCAGACTGCGCATCCTACCGGCCAATCCGACTGATGAGCCACACTCTAAAAATCTTCGAGCGAGTAATCGAAACACGACTTCGAAATATCATAGAGTTGTCACCGAATCAGTGCGGATTCGTGAAAGGAGTAAGTACAACTGATGCAATCCACTCCGCTCGGATAGTGATGGAGAGATACAGGGAGAAGCAGAAGGAATTGCATGTAGCCTTCCTGGACCTGGAGAAAGCCTTCGATAAGGTGCCACATGAAGTTATATGGTGGGCCTTACGGAAACATAGGGTGCCAGAGGAGTACGTTCAGTGGATAAAGTTGATCTACCACAACGCATCAAGCCACGTGCAAACAGCTGCAGGGCAATCGAAAGAATTCCAGATCAAGGTTGGAGTTCACCAAGGTTCAGTTCTCTCTCCCTTGCTCTTCATCGCTGTGATGAACGCCGTAATGGAACCGCTCAGACGTGAGCCCCCTTGGACACTTCTCTACGCAGATGATGTGGTCTTGATAGCAAGTACCAGAAAGGAGCTACAAAACGAGGTGCAAAACTGGAAAAACAGGCTAGAGTTGTATGGCCTGAAGCTCAACACCAGGAAGACAGAATATATGGAAGTGGGGGAACAAACTCCAGGTACCATAAGCATCGATGGTGAAGAGCTAAAGAAGACGACGTCATACAAGTACTTAGGCAGCCATATCTCAGCGGAGAAAGGCTTACAAGAGGAGGTCGCAGGCAGGATGAACACAGCATGGATGAAATGGAGAGCCTTAACAGGAGTTCTGTGCGACAGACGAATGCCAGTGCAACTTAAGTCCCAACTGTACCGGACCGTTATCCGCCCAGCAGCACTGTATGGCAGTGAGTGCTGGCCGTGTACGCGGAACGAGGAGCGCAAGCTCAGTGTCATGGAAACAAGGATGCTACGATGGACCTTAGGAGTCACACTGAAGGATCACATCTGCAACGACACTATATGAGCACGAATGAAAGTAGCTTCAATTGCCCAGAAAATGCAGGAAAGAAGGTTACGATGGTATGGGCATGTGCGCAGAAGGGATGAAAGTCACATCACGAAGTCAGCCCTGGCTGTGGAGGCGCCAGGCAAACGACCCAGAGGTAGACCCAAGATGAGGTGGATGGACAGAATCAAGGCCCACCTGCGAGAACTTGGCATAGATGAAAACCTTGCCTCAGATAGGACGACATGGAGACGTCTCACAAGAAAAGCAGACCCTGCGTAAGCGGGACACATGCGAGGATAAAAAAAACTTCTTAGCCTTATCTCTTCTTTAGTTACAGATGTCCAAATTACCTTGCTCTCATGCACGTTTTTGGTATCGTTCCGGATGGCGCGAAATTGCAGGAAGATCTGTGCAACAAGTTCAAAAGTTTTTAGTCGCAAGCATAAGCTCCAATTATTATTTTCTGCATGCAAAAAATGGCGTCGCAGACGGGAATCGAACCCATAGACTATCGTCTAAAGCGTTCTTATTCCTAAAACCATAATGTATGTCTTTCAGTATGCTCATCAAAACATGAACGAGTTATGCAAATTCATGTGCCGCGGAAAAATTTCTTATCTGCCATTAGAAAATAAATTGGTATATCAGGTTGTCCCATTAGTTCCGTCCCTTTTGACTTTCAATCGCAATAAGTCATCTACTTCTCATTTGCAGATAGGATTCACGATACCATGTGACAGCAAAGGAAAGCCTTACAAGATGGTGTCCTTGCTTTCGTGCCAGTTCACATCTACCTCGAGTTTGAAGCCAGGGACTAAAAGCAGCCGAAAAATAGGGAAACAATCGTCCGTCCAAACATTTAGAAAATCCACTTGCTCACCAACGTACCATTCCAGACACTTAATATGCTGTTGTTGTATTTTTATCGTGAATAGAAGTCAACAGAACGAGAACTTTCATGTTTTTGCCAAAGCGATGCTGTGCTGTTCCCACAATAGTAGTTGTACACTACATCGAAGTAAAAGTAAGACGTGAATTTCGAGTACTCCACAGGCCTTAGTTCTCGAGAAATATTCGTTTTAGTGTGAGACACTCGACTAACAGAAGCTAAATCCGACGTTTCTCGAGAACTAGAACCTGTAGAGATCTGAATAGGTCTTACTTCTACTTGTCTGTAGTATACGACTACTAATGTGGGGCAAAAACATGGAATTTCTCGTTCTCTTGATTTCTATACGAGGAAGAAAATACAGCAACAGCATTTATACATTCCTGATGGAATAGGGTATATGTGAGCAAGTTGGGAATTTTAGGGTTTTTGGACGGAGTTACAATTTATTTTGTGGGCGGCAAGTTCCTTCTAGTTTTTGCCTTCGATTTCGAGATGGAATTTGACTGTTGCGAAAGCAAGAGCCCTTCTTGTAGGGCTTGCTTTGCTCTATCAAATGGTACCTTGACACCTATCTAGAGATGAGAAGTATACGACTTGTTGCGATTGAAAGTCAAAACTTGTAGGATAACCTGATAAATTGATTATTTATGAAAACTAAAGCAACTTGTTCCGTATACCTGAATTTTTCTTAATTGTTATTTATTTCATTTCCTATTTAATTCAGCGTTCAGCATCTTTCAGTCCAAATGTCGGAATCGGACTAAAACTGATGTCCTCCTTCGTCAAGACCATCCATTTTTAGCGGCCATAATACAGCAAAACCAATTTTTCTTTGTAGAATTTTCCTACTTGCCGATCTAAGAGATTTAATGTTGAATTTTTTGACCAACAAAGCATTACTTGTTCCATTATCTCTCAGTTTTTGGATACATTTCTCTTCCTGACACATAATTTCTAACCGGGTGCATATTGGCATCCTTTGATCAGATTTGACATTCACTAAAGCAGATTAGCGCAAAAGCATGGAAAAGTCGAAAGTTAGATATACAGGGCTCCTAAACTGCAGAGTCGTTTGCACCAGCGGTCGCGCGCCCGGGCATTTTGCCGGCGCCGGCGCCATCGATCGAGGCGGCGCCGTTGATGCCCGGGCGCGACGCGGTTGCGCGACCGCTGGTGCAAACGACTCTGCAATTTAGGAGCCCTGTACATATGCGCGTCTTCGCATATAACCAAGTTCATGTGTGTATGATCTCATGTAGCTCACGATTGTTGCCCTTTCAACCTCTAGTCATATTCTTTGCATAGTTGAGAACATCTGCAAACTAGTTTTGAATCTTGATGAAAGAGGAAGGCGACTACCGACAGACGCATTATGGACAAAGTTCATGAAAATCTTTTGCAAATCTGCAAAATAAAAAGCACAAAAAAAGAGATTGAACAGTTTGCATGCAAGACTACCATAATAACCGCTACACAGCCTGCACACAGTGTATACCCTGAAATAACGCAGTTTCTAGTGCAGTTCTCGAAAGACATAAGTCGGTAACTCTACGCAGAACCTTTTTTTGCTCTGAACGGTTTGCCACAAACAATCGAATAAATCCAGCTCACTCGGTTTTTTTCCGGATGCACTAAATTTGAGACGTTTATAAAACTTCTGCGGCATTTTTGTGCGTGGAAAGATGTCAATAGGTCCGCTGGCAGATCTCCTATCGAGCTTTGTGGGAAACGAAAATGGAGCAATCTTGTACCACAGATGTTTATAGGTGAAAAGCAGATTAGTTCTACAAAACATTCCAATGTTTATAGGTGAAAAGCAGATTAGTTCTACAAAACATTCCAATGGATTAATACGCTTATTACCAAAAATTATTCTACAAGAATGTCACTCAGTGTCCGAATAAACACTCTCATCAGAGTAATCAGAATAATCAGTTGATGAAAGCCAACTCAGATCAGATTCCTCATGTTCTTCTGTCCCTTCCGATTCTTCAGTGGCGTCAATAGTGAGGAAGTCATGAAACAACAGAAGCTCTTTTTCAAGTCTATCAGCGAGTGAATCGAGACAATAGTACTGAAAAAAAAAACTTTATAAAACTGCTACAAACTGTCATAAAATCACAATTCTTTGTTTATACTCCCTATATCAGAATACCCATCTACCAGACGAGTACCCAGGATTTTCGTTCAGGGAAGGGGGGGGAGGACTGTTTCTGATGAAGGTGCGTGGCTAACGCCAGGCACTGCGAAAAATTCTTCGGTGTGCTTCTCACAATCTTGGCGGGCCCTAGTTCCGAACAAGCCCCGAAAAATTTTTTTCATAAGGCAAAATTGAATTTTTCAACTAATCAGAAAAACATTTAATGAGCCATTTACTGTTATACAGACAGTGCGCTAAACGAGGTTTACGATAGGCATTTGTGAAGGTGCGAGATTTTCATTGCCAGATCAGTTCCATGGACCCTCCAGCCTTAATTCCTCAAAACAAGTTCAAAAAGATTGGAAAACGCAACTGATAGTAAAAGTTGCGGTTTCAGAGTTTTCTGAAAGAGTAAATATAACGAAATGTCGCCAAAAAGAGAAGTTGGTGCTGACATCTGCAACCATCGCGCAACTCCTATAAACATGTATTTTTATCTGCAGGATTGTCGCCTCGGACGGCTGGAATCCCTGGAAATGACCAAAGGACACGTTCGCAAACGCGATGCGGAGTCCAAACAAGGACATCGCGCAGGATTCGAGCTGCTTCGGTGACACCGCCAATGATACACTAGGTAAGTGGAGCTTGTGCCAATTGCCCGCGAAGGGTGGAGCCTATCGGCGACATATCGTCCTCTAACCATTTTTCGCAACGGATGCGAACTTAGTCAGCGGTCGAGCATTTTTCATGAAAGAGGACGCTCACGGTCTCGCTTTGTGGGCATTCGCCTTCGTCTAGCACCACCAATACTTACAAGACACTTTGTAAACTCTTGGCGAGCGCGCAAACTCGACACCATTTAAGACCAATCTATCCCGCCTTGCTCCTCAAACAGAAGCCACTGTTAGTTACAGACAAGATGACTCCGCAAATCTGCCTACAATAGCATACAACGAATAGGCTTCACTCAAAATCGGTTCCGCGCAAGCTTGCTTCACGACTATGCATCGCGCGTGATGTACTGTAATTGTCATGTACGTCGCTGAAATTTTTTCTGCACACTGACCACTTCAGCCGCCACGTCACCCCTTTACTATGCTTGATGGCATATGGCGGCCCTCCTTTCATGAAGGCAATCCTTCATTCTGCATGATACGGTTGCTCACCCGAGAGCATTTGGGTTACGCCCAGACAGTGGCATAAAAGGCGTGAATGCTCCGTTCTGGTGCTGATTCGTAACACCACTATCCCCAGCGGCCGTTCCGCGTTACTGACTCTTGGTAGTCAGCGGCTGCACCGCTAATATAAGTAGCTCTACAACGCGGTGGTACCAGCTTGGTTCATCCAAAAAAGAACAAGTAACCACGGCTTTTTGAGATGAGTTCCAGCAAAAGATTTCGGCAAGCCAAGCGCGACTCCCTGTTCAGCATCTGTTGTGCGTTTTATGCAAGGAGATATGGGCTCTTTCCGTCTAAGTTCGCGCAGCCAGCACAATGCCAGCCTGCACTCATGTCAGAAAAAACGGTGTGTGGTGTGCTGGACTAACAAGGGATGTCACTGTCACTTGACTTATTGTTTAGTATCGTGTTTCAAGATGAGACACAATCAGCTTCGAACGCTGATTCCAAATATGCTGTTTCTAGCTGCGGCACATTACCCTAAAGAGAGTTATTGACTTTTTTACATGCCATATTTGCATACTCTTTCTCAGACAATCGACCGGACCCCTCCGCCGGACAGTCCGAATCTGCCAGAGTCGCGCCGGACCCAGTTGACCAGTGAGAGAGGGGCAAATGGGCGGTCCGTCGCGGTGACATCACTGGCAGGCAATTGGGAGGCTTCTCCGGCCCTGCTGCAAAGGTACGCCATTTCTCCGGCGCGGCTCTGCCAGATTTGGCAGAGCCGCGCCGTAGAAATTTGCCCGGCGCGAGTCCGCCAGATTTGGAAGAGCCGCGCCGCAGAAAATGGGAGGGGTCCGGAGCACAAATGGGAGGTCTCCGGAGCAGAAAATGTGAGGTCTCCGGAGCAGAAAATGGGAGGTATCCGGAGCAGAAAATGGGAGGTCTCCGGAGCAGAAAATGGGAGGTATCCGGAGCAGAAAATGGGAGGTCTCCGGAGCAGAAAATGGGAGGTATCCGGAGCAGAAAATGGGAGGTATCCGGAGCAGAAAATGGGAGGTATCCGGAGCAGAAAATGGGAGGTCTCCGGAGCAGAAAATGGGAGGTATCCGGAGCAGAAAATGGGAGGTCTCCGGAGCAGAAAATGGGAGGTCTCCGGAGCAGAAAATGGGAGGTCTCCGGAGCAGAAAATGGAAGGTCTCCGGAGCAGAAAATGGAAGGTCTCCGGAGCAGAAAATGGGAGGTCTCCGGAGCAGAAAATGGGAGGTATCCGGAGCAGAAAATGGGAGGTCTCCGGAGCAGAAAATGGGAGGTATCCGGAGCAGAAAATGGGAGGTATCCGGAGCAGAAATTGGAGGTCTCCGGAGCAGAACATGGGAGGTATCCGGAGCAGAAAATGGGAGGTATCCGGAGCAGAAATGGGAGGTCTCCGGAGCAGAAAATCGGAGGTCTCCGGAGCAGAAAATGGGAGGTATCCGGAGCAGAAAATGGGAGGTATCCGGAGCAGAAATGGGAGGTCTCCGGAGCAGAAATGGGAGGTCTCCGGAGCAGAAATGGGAGGGCTCCGCCGGACGAGTGCGAGACCCACCGCTGGGGAAACGCCGCGACCCTGCCATTTCTTCGGCGGAGGGGTCCTATCCGTTGCCTGAGTTGATCTAGTAGCATTACGGTACCATTACTTAAGTTCTAATTGACTGCATGAAGTCTCTTGTCACTGCATAAAGTTTCTTGTCAATTACAAAAGACTCACTCTGTATAATTCTAGTACCCCGATACCGTTTTTGGGCAGATTTCCATCTACAGGCAGCCTCACCGCATGGAAATGTTTGGCATCGCATAGAAACAATCCCATAACTTCCTTCAGAATAACGCGCCACAGATAGGAGCAGCATATTTAGAATCAGCGTTCGAAGCTGATTCCAAATATATGTGTATCATCTTGGAAGGCGATACTAAGTTAAGTGACATCCAGAGGTGCGATAGGTGGAGCCGGCCCCCCCCCCCCCCCAAAAGTGAAGGTGGTTCCAGCTACCACTGGCCGGCCAAAAGTGAAGATGGTAGTGTCGGACACTCACCTCCCAAAATGTCGACCGGGGGGGGGGGGGGGGTTTACGTCGACTGAGCCTATCCACCAGGTCGTTGCCGCCATGCGCGGAAAATAAGCAAAACAAATGCAAAAGAGATCATTGAAAGCATATTTTTTATGTATAAAGCGGCATAAATATCTAAAATAAAGTACTTATGAAATGGTGTATCTAGGAGTAAAACTCAGCGGAACTGTAAGAATTTTATTAAGTAGATTTTGTTATAGAGTACAGCGGAAAAAGTAGGTTGATCCAGGCAGTAACCACCGAGAACCAGAATTTCGAATAATAAATTAACGTAAAATCATGCGAAATTTCCACTGTTATAAATCTGGTGGTTGAAGATGTCAGCAAATGCGACTTCATAGGTTTTGAAGGGTGAGTATTGTTCTACTAGATGGTGAAAAAACTAGGTCGATTTGAGCATTGGCCTCCGAGAACGAGAATTTTAAATAATCAAGCAATTTTAGGTTACTTAGTGACAGCTGACGTTTAGACTCCTATAAATCTGGAGTATGAAGGTATGCAATGTTGCGACTTCATAGGTTTTGCAGAGTAAGAATTGCTCTATCGGATTATGTTTTCGCCTTACCGATCTATCAAGGTACCGCCGAGATTCAGGCTCTTAAAAAAACAGGTAAAAAAGCGCTTTTTGAAATTCAACAGCTCATGACTTCTTCAGAATTGCATGAGTCATGTTGCGACTTCATAGATTGGATTCTCCTCTTCAAGAGCTTTCAGATGATATAAAATATGTGGGGGGGGGGGGTTCAACGATTTTTGCGGCTCTAACCCAGGGTGGAGTCTTTTTACCTCAAAGTCTCCACCTCGCCCATGTTAATGTATTGGCCAGAGACCGCTAGTGGAGACTTTGGAGTGAAAAGTCTCCACCCCCGGGCATATGCCGTGGAAGGCGTGAAACCCCCGCATATTATATATCATCTGAAAGCTCTTGAAGAGGAGAATCCAACCTATGAAGTCGCAACATGATATATGCAATTCTGAAAAGTTATGAGCTGAAAAACTGTTTTTTACCTGCTTTTTTAAGAGCCTGGATCTCGGCGATGTTTCAATAGATCGGTACAGCTAAGATATATTCTGATAGGGCAAACCTCACCCTACAAAACCTATGAAGTCGCAACATTGCATACCTTCAAGTTCCAGATTTATAAGATTCTAAACGTCAGCTGTCACTAAGTAACCTAAAATCGCTTGATTATTTAAAATTCTCGTTCTCGGCGGCCAATGCTCAAATCGACCTAATTTTTTCACTATCTAGTAGAACAATACTTACCCTTCAAAACCTATGAAGTCGCATTTGCTGACATCTTCAACCACCAGATTTATAACAGTGGAAATTTCGCATGATTTTACGTTAATTTATTATTCGAAATTCTGGTTCTCGGCGGTTACTGCCGGGATCGGCCTACTACATAGTTATATGCTCTCAATACTTTCTTTTGCGTTCCTTTTGCTTATTTTCCTTCTTTTGAGCTTCAGCAAAAAAAATTTTCAAACCCAAGAGTGAAGGTGGTCACCCCGTACCAGCTCAAAAGTGAAGGTAGGCGGAGACTCGGCTCCGACTATCGCACCTTTGGTGACATCCCTTGTAAGTGATACGCTTCTGGTTCCAGTCCTTCTCAGTTGAATTTTTTTGCTGATGTATTTGAATCTTTTTGAACATGGAGCCACTCGATAAACGCGCCAGTTCGATATCAGTATTTATGTATTCAGTGCAGCACAGCACTGCGCGATAGGGATGATACGTTTCAATCTCCCGTATGGGTAAGTGTTCCCGTTCAGGTCGCAACCTCAATCAGACACGGGCGCCCTTCGCGGTGCGCAAGCTTGGGCCTGACCATGCAAAAGACCGATTAGGCGAAATCGGCTAGGTCACCAAGACATGCAGAAGAGGATACTGGCAAGTCTGGTATAGGGGCCTGCAGGATCGCGAGAGTTGGACGTGCCTACGGCCATTTCGCCGGGCACGTCCGATGTCACTAGGTAGGTGCCAGACTTATCCGCTTCAGCCGGTTCGTTCGGTTCATAGGTCAAATCACTACACTGTCCAACAGCAAAGGTGGTGAACCGAATGAACCTGTTCAACAAGATAAGTTTGGCACCTACGTGAGTCGTCGGACGCACATCTGACGTGCGCGGCGCAATGGCTGTACGCACGTCCGACTCTCGCGATCCTGCAGGCCCCTATAAACATCACGTCTCAGAAGGCCATAGTCATGGTTCCTTCTCTTGTTAGGGCACAACAGAATATGCACGAGTCATACCGCAACGTCGTTCATCGCCGCAGGCGCGACTTCGCATGACCGATCCATTTGAAGGCACCGTCCACTCAGATCCTCGACTTCCATGTTTTGGTCGTCCCGGGGCCTTCTCATGTCCCTGATTCCAAATATAAGCCGAGAATTCGCGAGACCCCTACAATCCCCGTTCCGGATAACACGCAGGCCGGTTCTCCGCAGCCGTGATTGAATGGGCACACACGGATGGGCATTACTGGAGGGGGGTGGGGGGCGCCGACTTGACGTCCTCATGCCTCTTCGCAATTCCGAAGTGATTTCCTTGCTTTCAAAGCGACATTTTACTTGGTGCATTGGCTTGGTAGGGAGTTCTATATAAAAGCTGCCAAAAGCTCAACACCCATAACTTATGGTGGACAGTGCCTTTAAGGCTTCGAGCATAGTTCACGCACGCGATTTCATCGCCTGGTGAATTCCCCACAAGACAACGTTGTGAGCCCATTGCATGTAAATCCTCTTGCATTTCGGTTATGATAATTTTCCGACACGACTAATTGTGAACTATCCTAAACGAAATGCGAGGTGATGGACATGGAATGGACTCATAACAGTGTCGGGAGAATCGCGAGGCGGCGAAATCGCGTGTACTATGTCAGAGACGTAAAACAGCCAAAAAATCCAAGATGACAGTCGCTTATGCGCGCAAAGCGTGGGGGGCGTACGAGCTTCATTGCTATAAGAGCCTCGAACACGCTAACCGCAGCTGCTTCGCATATCGAACCGACCGCCTTCGTCAGGAAAGAGCATTCATACATATGAAAGTCTAAGGCCGTACGCCACGTAAAGTCCAAAAGTTGCCAATACATCCGCTAACTTGCCTATTCGCAAACTCTCTAAATACAGAAAGAAAAGGACTTCGACCATCATCAAAAAGGAGGAGTCATGTAACTGCGTATTCTAACATCATACTACCTTCAACTCAGCGTACCTCTCAGCGCAACCACTGAAGTAAAGATGATACGCAACAAGCTGATCATCTCATCAACAAGCACTTTAGGCAATCTTATCCAGTCTGTCGTCACTGTACATTTATCGTAGCTTAACATGAGAAGCCACCGTGATTGAGTGCCTTTTCGGATTTATTATACCGTAGAATACCTTGATTTCGCAAGTATGAGGCGCACAAGTTTTTGCCAAACGTTGGCAGCACAAACACGCCAAGGAAATTCGCGACCAAAGCCCTTCTAACAGGCTTCTTCCACTTCAAAGAAATGCAGACGAGAAACCGAATCGCGAGAGACAACGGTGCGGCCGAGCTTTCGCATTCGACGAAACAAAAAGTGCGCCTTGTAATCGTAATAATAGGGTAGTTTGTTTCGTAGGCACTCACCAACTTGACAAAAATGTTTGAATACTATGTGCGCCGAGCTGTCATTTATGATGCATAATAAGCGTACCTCAGCTTCCTGTTGCAACAGCGCGATGAAGTGTCCATTTTTAGGGATGTGCACTCTTCCGTCACGCAAGTAATTCAGAATGTATCCAAACAATCTCGGATCACGATCGATGAATACTTTGCTGCGAGACTGCAAGTCACACTAATGCATGAATTCACTGTAGAAAGCATTGACTCACTGGAAAATCCAGAAATAAATTTCGATCCTTTGCACCTGGGCGGTTCAATAGCGTTTCCAGCGTCGTATGGAACTTTTTGCCACCAACATTCACGACAACGTGAAACATACTCACACACCTAAACATGAATGCCCAAACAATTACTGAACACTAAAATAAACGCGAGAATTAAGGATCACGTGAAAAGCGACTACTGATCAGTGTGCATGCTGCCGGTAGGCAGATGCCTGCTGGAAATTGGACATGTGTGAAAATTACAGTAGGTTGTTCAACTAGGAACCAGGCAAATGCCACATAGCCAACTTCGCCTTTACAAAGGTCTCTGGATCTCTAAAGGAGATCGTGGGTGTTTTTTACGTATCACATTTCATGCAGGAATATCATCGAAATGTATGGGTAGAACACAACGAAGCATTTGTACAGTCAAGAAATGGTCAAATGGCTGCACCTAATCTACACATAACAGTTGCAAGTAAGATATTCTGCAAACTACCACGGCAGAGTTGAAATCATGTAATGAAAATCATGTTTTTTACACCAAGTCAAGCTTGACTCATCTCCACTCCTCGCACTTTTTCGACAGTCTCAAAGGCAGCGGCTCGGCAGATTCTCGATTTGAAGTTTTTTTGCTTACCTGGGCTGATTCGAGGCGCTGATTCCGATAATCCACCTTGATAAGCGCGAAAATGGCAAGAACCACCATTTCCCAAGGCCTCGCATTTTGAATTTGGACGAGTGGAGCACGTCCCGCCATGGTTGGAGGGGCAATCGTTGCGGGACCCTCGCAGTTACAGCACTGCGGGGCATGCCTTCTCTAACGGGCAGGAAGAATCACAAGCTCGTCCGCGCGTATTAGAATGGCTTGCGCGTAACTTGATTTTTTAAGCAAGGGCAGCATGCTGTGCGCTCGGACCTGCTCTGTTCTCATGTTTGTGGTGCAAGCAACTTTCCATGTCAAAATTTCGGGATGTTCGGTTTTGCCGAGCTGCTGCCTTTGAGCGAAAAGCTCTCTATTTCGCTGACGAATATGTATGGTTGGCGATTTGGCTTTGCTCCCATAGGAACAAAGGATCACCGCTTCGCATGCTTTTCGCGTACTTGCGTTGCTTCTGACGCGTCTTCCTAGAGAATTCAATCCACGGTACTCCTTTCATTGGCAATGACCGGCGCGTAATCGAGCCGATCGAGACGGCGTCACTGTCAAGAGATGGGGGACTTCTATTCCTCCGTCGACGGCAGAGTTGCGTTGTGGCGGCACCTATGGGAGGAACCTCAGGACACCGACTATATAGAAATCTTTGAACCCCGTCTTCCATGGTGCTTCAAAATGAAGCTGGCAGGTAAAGGAACATATTCTGCCGACAGGCGCCGACTGCGCAGATGGCTGGTCCTTTGCGCATGCTATTCATGCCGTCTCCCAGTAGTCAGCAAAGGCAACCTTAGGCATAGGCACGCGCCATATTTGATCCGCTTGGTCCGCTTCATCCACTTCGCTATTGGTCAAATCAGCAAATCGATCAATTGCGAAGTGGATGAAGGGGATCGATGCGGTGCGGGAGGGACCAAAGGCCTGCCGCTTGTAGCCGTAAGAGATAATTAGGAGCGCGAGCACTGAGGAGAAAAGTTTGGCAAGGGTCCAGTAAAACTTGGCGAGGACATCCATTAGAAACAAACCTTTATAACTCTTCTTGGAATTAACTTTTAAGGATACGAAAGGCAGATTTGGAGTCAGCATTGAAATGCGCATTTTTCAGTTATAGGCTTACCGTATAGATAAACAAATTTTCATCAAAACCTGTGCCTTCAACACTCGCCATCAAAAGCTGAGGAGTTTCAAGTGCAAGTATGGACTCCAATTGAAAGTAGGAAGTAGTAATCAGGACATAATGTTAACTAAGTTGCATGTGATGAACTTTTGCTATTGTGTATAACTCCGGAAGGATTACTGACATAGTTTCAATGGCAAACCCTATGATTAGTGTCAAGATTTGGAATTAGGATCATTCTATTCTATAATAAAGAATGGCAAGGTTTTGCACTTACATGTTGACCAGTTACGGACTGAGGCGAGTGATTGCGGAGGGTGCGGAGAGAACAGATTTACCAACAAGGCTAGCGTGTTTTCATAGGGGGTGACGTCCCTCCTCGAGGAATGTTTTCGAAAAGGGTGTGACTACTGAGTGCAAAAATGCTATAATATGGGGAGGTGCCGACACTCTCGTAAGGTTGCTAACAGTACCCCTCCCTTCTTTCGCAAGATTGAACCCTGCGCGTATGACTGAATTCGAACCTTGTTCTGAGTTTTTGGTATTGGAGCCCCATGCCTGTCTAGCTGTCGACATGCTTGTATAGCCTCACGTTCATGTACATGCTGCAATAATTTGCTCACTTCTTATTTTTCTCTTGATGTATCCATTTCTGGTTCAATAAAAGACTAATGAGGACAGTTTTTTCGTGGTTTCGCGAAATATTGGTTTGTTACTATAGGTCTTTAAGGAGCTGGTAGGTCTCTACATTTTTTTTTCTCAAAAACGGTGCGTTGGCGTTCCATAGAGCAGATCTCCCCGCAAGCGGCTCGTAGAGCACGTTTGTAGGGATTCTTAGCTCAGTGCCCCTCATAGTAGTTATTTCTCAGGACACCGGTCTGCGAGAGGTCCATAGGGCATTCAAATTGTAATTGACGGTCGCGGTTTGGAGACGGCCCGTAGGGCGATTCTTTCTCAAATATAGGTTTTAAGAGGCTGGCAGCCCTTTCTGAAAACATCAGTTTCTTATAGGGCAATAACTTTTTCAACATCGGCCTTTTGTTTCAAAATATTGGTTTATGGGTAGGGCAGTTTTTCCTTGAAAAGTTGGTTCGTAGCTGGTTCTTAGAACATTTTTGCGGGTTTGAGAGTTTGTAGGGCAGTGCTTTTTTGAAAGATCGGTCTGTGTGCAGTACACAAACACGCTTTTCTCGAAATCTCGAAGGGCGGTCCGTAAGCGGCCCATAGGGCATTTTTTTCAGTATAATAGAAGCTCACAGGGCAGTTTTCTGAAATATATTTTTGAAAGTTTGTACATTTGTAGGCAGCCCACAGGACAGCATTTCCCCAATATAATCTGTAAGCGTCCTATAAGGTAGATTCTTTTGATAGTTGATTATAGTTCTGCACGGTCCCAAAGGGTAGTTTTTTCTTGAAATAACGTCTAAACCAGTCAACCGTTATAGACGTAATTTTGGTTTTTGAAATATCGGTTTAGAGGGAGACCTTTTATGGCAGTTTTGTCCCAAAATATTGTTTGTAAGTCTCGAAGGGTATACCCAAAATAACATTCTGTAAACGGCTTTAGGGGAGTTTTCCTTCTTAAAATGCTGGGTAGGAGACTTCTAGAGATGTTTTTTTTTGAATATTGGCTGGTAAGCAAATCACACTTTTCCCTTCTTATGATTTGTCATAAATATCGGTCTGTGGGCGGCTCGTAGGGCAGTCTCTTTCTTCTGTAGGAAAGTATCCATGTATATCGCTCTATAGGCGGTTTGTGGAGCGTTCTTTACAAAAAAATCTGTAAATGGCTGAGGGCATGAGAAAACAAGAGACTTTATTTTGGTCAAATTTTCTGAGAACTAAGGTATTTTTTGAGTGAGTCTTTTGTACGCATCCGTTTTGAGGTTGACTGCTTTCGAGGTGACTTTAAATGGAGATTGTCAGGAAAATTTAGCAAAGATGATTCATAGATGGGAGTCAGAAGTTCAGAATTCGCAAGATATTACGATAAGATAGCGCTGGCAAATGTTATGATCATGGTCTATCATGGGTTTTCATTTGAAAAGAAGACCTTATTTTCATGATTCGATCTTCGTCATAATTTCATATACATATATGTCAGCTGAAGTGCTCATTAAAAGTCATCTTATCAAAGGCATGGTGAGGGGAAATCTTATTTTAGGAATGAATCTGTGGAAAGGTTTCCATGGGAGGGCGTAATATTTAAAAATCTATCAACTTTGTGTTCTCAAATCTCGTACGGTTGTGATAGGACTTTCGAGAATTATTGAATGATTTGTAGAACCTCGGCGTTTGCGACACTCCCTCATTAACTGGGTTTTCACATGTAGCTCTAAGAAAAGGTCTAAAATGTAGAGAGATTCGTGGTCACAGCTAGGCAGCTAATAAATTGCTTGCCCCTGCCAAACTGTTAGCGGCCCATAGGGTCGCTAGTAGGTTTAAAGTTATGAGACAAAGTGCATAGCATTTTGACACAAACCTCGATGTGTGTGACATTTTAATTGCTTTGGCTCATTGACTAAAAGGCAAACTATCCCTTTATCTCAAAGAAAAAGAATGAATTTTGAATGAAAGTTCTGGTCTTCAACAATTTGGAACTTTAAAATTCACATAACAAAAAGTTTCTATAAAGAAGTTGTTCTTACCAATACAATCCTTTTCACCTACTTTTCGGCCCAGTGAATGCGAATTCAATTTGGATTACAAATCTGTTTCTCAACTTTTTCGAAGTCATCTCCAGGCAAAGTTATGAAGGTTTGTTCCTAAAGGCACCCGCCATACTTGATCCACTCAATCCACTTAATCCACTCGATCCGCTTAATCCGCTTGATCCGCTTCGTGCAAAACACGCGCATAAACAATTTGTAATTTGGCGTCGCGTAGGTAAAAAGGAATTCCGTATGGTTACGCAATTTGGCGTACGCGACGCCAAATGACAAACTGCTTATGCGCGCGTTTTGCACGAAGCGGATCAAGCGGTTTAAGCGGATCATGTGGATTGAGCGGATCAGCAGATCAAGAGGATAAAGTATGGCAGGTGTCAAAGGACGTCCTTGCCAAGTTTTCTTGGATCCTTGCCAAATATGCTCCACAGTGCTCGCGCTCTTAATTATCTCCTGCGGGTACAGGCGGCAGCTCTTTGCTTCTTCCTGCACCACCCCCAAGCGGGATGATCAAACGGATTAAGTATTGCGCCTGCCTTACGATGGGTTCATACTGATTGTAAGTCCCCAAACAGTGCTAGTACAGCGCACTCGAGCGTTGTGATGGAACTGTTGCGCGTTACAAATCAGTATGAACTTAGCCTTACTCAGGCGTTCATCCACTCGAAATTGGCTACGTGCCATGGCTGGTCTCTAAGCGAAGTTTATGCTGTAATTTCGATTGTGCATGTAACGCCAGGCCTGTGGGTAGAGGACAATATGTCGCCGAAAGGGGAGGCCTGCGGTGATTTGCAACAAATACGCATCCTTGCACATGCGCGGTGATCCGTTCCTGCAAGAAATCCGCGCGCCCTCCCACATTCGGCGACATGTAGTCCTCCACCCGAGATTCGGGCGCCACTGCTAGTTAGGTATAGTTCATTTATAAAATCGTGACGACGGATTTTACTGCGGACTTTCCACCCATCGGAGCATACAACGCTCATACAAGAAGGCATCACCTTAACATTCAGCTTAACCACTTCCAGTGTCTAAATTTTATCATACGTAAGCAAAAAACCATTCGACTAGAGATGAAAACGAAGAAAATGCAATTTCCGGAAGTTGCGTGCCTGTCGCGCGCGGTCGCGCCATCGTCACGATTTTTCAAATGCCCTATATCTTTGCATACAAACTAGACATTTTAAAACGTGAATTATCTCCAGATATGATGCCGCTTATAAACGGTGCATTCCTGGAATATCATAATAACGGAAACACACTGTTCAGCAACATTTATAGTCAAAAAGAAGATACATTCTAAAGAAACATTCCAAGCAAAGAATCCGCTCGATACCGAAAACAAAACTAGCCAACTTGAATGTGTTAGCTAATCTTCACAGGTGTCCGAATACATTGCACTCTCACTGACGTCACCGGAGGAGTGCTGAGAATGAATTGATGATGAAAGGCGACTTGTTTCAGCTTCTTCAGGTTCTCTCGCCCCGCCAGATTCTTCGGCATCAATAGTGATGTAGTCGTGGAACAGACGTAGCTCATTGTGAAGTCTTTCAGCGAGTGTACCGAGACCATAGAACTAAAATAAAAACATTTTAACACGTTTCGGACCGGTGCTGCACATGGTGCAGCACGCGGTTTTGAAAGGTCTTTTTAAACTCTACAGGAGGTTTTCTTTTGTCCAAGGTTATCAAGTCAAACGCCTAGGCTCCTACTTTTCAAATAACTCTGTAGAGCTGTGCGATATTTGTTTAGGAGATATGAGAACAAATCGAACAACAGTTGCAACGAAGTGCGCAACGCGAACGAGGCGTGCGACGTCGCAACTTTTCTTTGCTTCAAATTCAATGAGAAAAACCGTGATTTCAATAATGATGTGTATCCTGTACAGCATAGACACTTTTGGATACAGAGAAACTGAGTTCTTGTTTCTATCTTTCAAGAAAGCAAGGAAGTCCTTCTCAAGCGACAAAATTCAAACACTTCGAATTCATTCAGAACTTTGGGTATCGATCTTATCTGACATGCTGATTACAGATGTAGCACACAGTCTGGGAAATAAGGTCCGTTTGCTGGCTAACGGCTAAAAGTACCCTCTTTTTCGCCGCGCGCGATTTCGCGGTCCGAACTGCGTTAAGCAAAGACATCTACATCAAACTGCTATGGGGATAACCTTACTGCGATGTACTCTCTATATCAGATCTACCATTACCTCTATGCAGATAGCTTGCTAGACAGGTGTAACGAGTGTAATAAGAAATGCGCTTCTTATTGCCACACTAGCTGTGACTTCGCCCAATTTTGTCTAGATGGTGAGATTTACCGGACCCCATTTCAACACATTAGTCTCTTCCGCTATACTTCTAAAAGTGCGAAGTGGTATTGAATAAGTGATCAGCAAGTTTACTTATCCCTATTCCAGCGCTCTGAGGTGGAGGACTATATGTCGCCGAATTTGGAGGAGTCCCACGCAGATTCCCTGCAGAAGCGCATGTCCGCACATGTACAAAATGCGTATTTGTCACAAATGACCGCGGGGACCGCCCTTTTTCGGCGACTGATAGCCCTCTACCACAGCTCCCTGTAACACAAAGTTTGCGAAAAAAAGAAAAAGTCGACATCGATCAATAACGAAGGTAGTTTTGGACCTCCGCCTACCACGAAGTGAATGCTGCGAAGTTTAGCCCGGATCGGTACAGAAATGGAACATTTTTTTGGAAGATACGTATCCCTTCCATCTGCTGCTACCCCTGGTCTGCACGGCGGCATGGTTAGCATGCTGGCAAAGTACAACAACATATTCATGCAACAACATGCTGGCAGAACATTTTGGCTGTCAGCCTCAGCGCTAACATGTTGCTGCATATTGCCAACATTCTGTCCACGCGTGCTGCGGGTCAGCGACGCAGCACGCATGGCCAATATGATGAGCAGCAACTGTGGAAGGGACGAAACAATAGAGCGGATAAATGTCGGTATGTATAGTGGCTTGTGATTCCAAGATTTTGCGGTAAGATCTGCTGAGTATTGTATTGCCAGCTATTTGCGCATGCAAAATTGGCATTTCACATGTAGTTATTTGTTACTCACTCGAGTGTACACTAGGCGCCAGCTAAGCGATCGCCTGCTTCAGCAGGACGCGGCGGAGGTGTCCCTTCAATTCTCTGAGTGTAACGTCTCAGCCGCGCGTCGTGCCCGCAGTGTCTATGTTATTTGGTGGCACGTTGGACGGAAATCAAGGTAACGTCTGCGATGTTCGCCACAACTGTAGTTTTGACACCCATCATCACCTGAAAATATTACGCAAACTCAATTCTGCGAAATACGCTCCGGTCCGAAATGGCAGTCATCGAGAAATCGGCCCTATCGGGAATGTGTTAAAGGTAGTGACTTGGGAAAATTGCGAGCGGGCTTTTCATACCTACATGGCCTTCTGGATGCGCTGACTCCAGTGCTGCTGTGCTCGAAATGTCAAAACAGCGCTTTTTACCTACGGTATTTTCCTACCCTGGAATAGCTGGAGGGGATGGGCGAGGGACTCCTGCTAACATCGCAACTTGGCTGCCTGAGCCGCTCAGCCAATTACCGCCAAATTGGGCGGAGTTACAGTCTTCTTCAGCCATCACAGTTTACGGCAAGAATCCCCAGCCCATCCCCTCCAGCTATCTCCAGGGTAGGAAAACGCCGTAAAAAGCACTTGTTTGTATTTTCAAACAGCGCTGGATTCAGCGCATCCAGAAGGCAATGTAGGTGTGGGAAGCTCGGTGGCAGTTTTCGCTAGCCACGCCTTTGACAGTGGGAATTTTGCTGTAGCGAAACCGCGGACGCCGACTTAATTTCCCTCTAACGAGACACCAGATGACAATGATTGCGCCGCATCCTACTGAAGCAGCTAAACAGCCAAGTCTATCGCCTATCTACCAGTCCGTATGGTTGGCAGCGTTCAGGCAAGTCGGACATTTTTTGCGGCCACACGTGCCGGGCCTGGCCCTGCCATGCTAGCGCGGGCCAGCAACGGTTCCAGTGTGTGCAGCGACCCTGTCACCCGAACGAGCGAGCCAGCCTGTATTTCAATGCCTCCTTTGCCTTGTTGGCCCACGCTAGCATAGGAGGGCAACCCTAGGGGTGGGCTTCGGCTCGGCTGCACCTGCATGCGCGGGTCACCTCAAATGTGGATATAACCAATGTGAAATAAAAATAGTGGAACTCGTTCCTGCATTCACACTACTGATCAAACTACATGAGTTTATTTAGAACCCATCAACGTCAACTCATAAGAAAACTTGTTGTCATCCCATAAGCAAGTGTTACCACCCTGTAAGCTACGATGGCATCCCTTCACTGCATCGTATCTCACGCGAGTAACCCTTATGCTTACAGCGTGCGTTAATTCATATGGATGAGCGGATCGCCGTTAATTTCAGCAGCGTGTGTATGGATGCGCGGGCCGCCAGTGCAATTATGAGCCTACTAGCTGGTTCACCCGGCTCCGCCTGGCCCTGCCAAAACACTATGATAAAATCTCATCCCTATCCCTTTACAACCTTTCCCTGTGCCCACTTCTACATGCCAAATACTTATTCCCGGTGTGTTAGCAATCAGCATGCTACCTACCCTCTTGTGCCAACCCCCAGTCCCGTAGCTCAAACTTTGCAAGAAATCGATAAAATCGACAAAAGTAGCGGAAGATTGCAAAATCTAATAGTGTACTCGTAATCAGCATGCTCGATTACCCCCTGTGCCAACTCCCAGCCCCGTAGCTCAAACTTTGCAAAAAATTAATAAAATCTAAAATAGTAATGGACGATTTCAGAAAAAATTTTTTGTGTTCGTAATCACCATGCTCGATTACCCCCTGTGCCAACTCCCAGCCCCGCAGGTCAAACTTTACAAAAAATCGATAAAATCGATAACGATCAATGTCGGAAAGTAACCTATGACACCCGCCCGGCCCCAAAGTGCATGTGTGCCAACATTGGTCTGGATTGGTTCAGAAATGGAATTCTCTATTCGGAACATACGTACAGACATAACCTTGATATCAACCCATATGTCTTCTCTCAACATGACGTGGATTACGTGGGTTGGTGAGGCGCCGCCTCGCTTCAGGGTTGCGCCACTTGCGTGCGCATCTGACGTGGTGTGACAAGAAGAACAACGTGTGAAAGCCTGCGCAATATACTTTGGGAAATTCGAAATTTTTTTCGAATATTCGAATATCGAATAATATTCGAAAATCAAAATTCTCGAATATTCGACTATCGAATATTATTCGAAAATTGAAAACTTCGAATATTCGACTATCGAATTTTATTCGAAAATCGAAATTTTCGAATATTCGACTATCGAATAATATTCGAAAATGGAAGTTTTCGAATCGAATAATATTCGAATATCGAATACCATTCGATATTCGAATTTCGAATATTATTCGGTTCTCGAATAATATTAGATTTTCGAATATCATTCGATTTTCGAATACTATGCGAATAAATTATGTCAATGAGACTACCTGTGAGAGACCAAAACATCTCAGAATGAATTTTTTCAGGCATGAACATTTTTTTATGTTTCAATTTACAACGAAAAACGGTTCAGTTGCAGCCCCGGCAAGAAGATGGGTGCCGGATTGTGGCGATGTTAAAGCAGTCCCCCCACCTAAGCGATGACTGATGTTCGAAGCGAAAAAGGGGGCTACCAGGCCTAAAAGTTGCCACGTAAGTGGCCCGGATCTTACGGTAGGCTCGTGAGTACGAGATGCATGCAGGGTAGAGACGCAGAGTCGTTGCGGGACCCTGCACTCATGACTGTGTGCGCTATGCGTTCTCTGGCCTTGCAGTTTGAATTCGCTATACGGGCGGCATTCGGGTCTGCCGTAAGACGGGCCACTTTGGGAGCAATTTTCAAGCTCACCAGACCCTCTTTCTCGCTCCGAACTTCGTCACCGCTTAGGTAGGGTGTCCAATTCGACATCGCCACAAATTCCCGGACACATCTTTTGGGACGCTGCCTTCAAGAACCTAAAAGCGTACGTGACGGTTGTAAAGGAATTTCAAAAATCAAAGAAGATCATTTATCTTCATGGAGAGTTGTGGACTGACATACAGGGGTCCTAACAGTATGTGAATCTGTTGGCTGACATCAACCTAGACTTACAGTATTAAGCGATGTATCGATCGCTTTTCACTTGTAAATTACCGTAGAAAAACTGAGGAGGGTTTTGAGATATCAAGAGCCGTTTGCCTAAGAATGAGAAACAAAAAAGCCGATCTTACACTAGGCTTCTAAAGACACTCACTGTATAAAGAATTTGCACTCAACCGTAACGCCTTGTGCAACTTATGCCAAGTACACCATCAGATGTTTTCCAACGCTTTTCAAAAAGAGAATGCGCATTTAAAAGACTTAAAAGCCCGTGCGTAGTTAAACATACGTAAAATCCTGCTACATAGATTTGAAATCTCTTTTTTGTTGGGGAAACTCTTTTGGATGTCTCATTTCGCAGTTGCTCTATATGCTAAGTTTATACCGTGATAACACAACAAGAAAAACATAGGTGATTTGCTTTCTGCTGTATTT